AACTCAAATTATTCAACTATATTCTATTGGAATTGGGAAACTTTGAAAGAAATTCAAATTAATAAAACCCTGGGATTGTAGTTATTTACTAACACCCCTGACAGAAACGAGCATTCCCTTTAACCACACAAATCTATCAGGAAGCACACGTTTGATCCAAACTAAGATGTGAACAGAGCACTACCTTAAAAATTTGCAATCCCTCAACACAATTCTTCTTTCCAACTCAAACTCCATCAACAATTCAAAAATCAACACCAACTTTTCATCCTTTTCATACCAACCACTCTCACAACATTAACAATAAAAGATTTCAACTACACTGGTTCGATCTCTTCACTCAAAATCAAACCTTTCCCTCAATCGTTCCAACTAAGGAGCTTTTAGTGCTGGAGAAAACATCACGGATGACAGCACTTTCAGGTGCACATAGAATATTTGTTTATTAATTTGCAGCTTTGTGTTTGGACTTATGTGATAAATTTGCATTTTTTTTTTTTTTTTGTTTGGTGTGTGTAGTTTGAGGAGAGTAAAGGGTTGGGATAATGGAAGGTGGAGCTTTCATTCTGAACTATAAGCTCAATCGTCAATTCTTGTCCTTTCTTTCTTTATATGTAGTTTTTAAAGAAAAGAAAGGAACCCGTTTGGTTGATGAGAAATTAAAGAAAGAAAGAAAAAAAAGGGAACTTTTGACATTGTGACTTAAATTTTAAGACCCCTTTACTCAACTCACTGAGCCTTACATCTGAATAGGAAATTATATAGTCTAATCCTATAACAAAGAAAAACTACTGGTGGTATTCAAACTCCAAAAGGCCTTTGCCATCTTTCGATGTTTTGTGTGAACAATGCACTTAAAACTCTTCATGTGCAACACGTCGGTAGCCTCAAGAACTGTATGCGAATACCACTTGCCGTTGAAAAGAAGTCAATGTACCTATCACTCACCAACCAACCCACAAATGTAAATCTCCTCACAATTGCCTCAAACTCCAAGTCTACTCCAAACTAAACAAACCCATGCCTTTGCACGCCTCAATGGTTTTTTCCTGGAAGTGTTTCTCTTTGTGCCACTTTGATCCTTCGCTATGCCGGCTTTAAAGAACCCATGCCGTTTCCTTCTTTGAACAAACTATTAATTATTGCCACACTGCATTCCTGTGGACATTTCATTCGGGCTCTACGGTTGCCTGTGGTCATGATGGTTTTTGTACTACAATCAAATGGTTAGGACTGGAGTTTCGCTTGATGATCTACACTTCCCTTTTTTTCTAAAGGTGTGTGCCGATATTGGAACTTAAAAGGGTATGGAGATCATGGGCGTCTGTTCAAACTTGGTTTTGAAACGAATGTCTTTTTGGGTAAATCCTATTGTTGTTTATGGTAATTGGGGCTTTTGGAAAATGTTAAGAGTGTGTTTTATGAATGGTGAGAGAGATATTGTTAGTTGGAATACAATTATAAGGGTATTTTCGGGTAGTAAGGTGTTATGTGGAGGCCCTTGATTTATATCGTGGTATGATTTTATGGTCTGGGTTAACCAAATGCAGTAGTGTTGTCAGATATTGCGAGTTTGTGGGGCCTTGCAAATGAGGTCATGGCAAAGCAGACATTGTTATGCTGTGAAGAATGGGTTAGATGTTCGGGTTACTATAAGTAATTCACTGATTGATGTGTATGGGAAATGTGGAAAGTGGATGCTTCAAGGAAAGTTTTTGATGAAATGGCAGACGGGATCAAATTTCTTGGTGAATGCCAATCACTAGTCTTCTCATACAGGGTGTAACAAGGATGCTAAATTAGTTGAGTGATTTGTGCAAGGTTGACGCCAAACTCTATTGCCATATCTAGTATTTACATGTGTTGGTTGAATTAGAGTATTCAGTTAGGAAAGGAAATCCACGGGTTCAGTTTAAGAATGGGCATTGAATTGATGTGTTTGTTGCCAACTCATTGATTAACATGTATGCAAAATCAGGCATCCATCTGAAGCTTCCTATGTGTTTCACTATATGCCTGTAAAGGATGTTGTTACTTGGAATGCATGATTACAATCTTACTCCGAATGGGCTTCAGTTAGCAGCTCTGGAACTAGTAAGAGAAATGGTAGTCCATAACAAGATTCCTGACTCTGTCACTTGATAAGTGTTCTCCAACTTGTGCACGAGGTGGTTTCCTTCGTCCAGGAAAAGAAATCCATGCAGTTACCATCCGTAAGGGGTTCAACTTTGATCTGTTTGTCACCAATGCTCTGACAGATATGTATGCAAAATGTGGCTGCCTGATCTGGCTCAACGTGTTTTGAATATCCCTTAGGGATGAATATCTTATATATATTAATAGCAAGCTATGCTGAAAACTAGTGATTGCTCAAAATCTTTGAGTTTATTCTCAGAAATGGGTCTCATGGTATGATGCAGATGTGGTTTCCTTTGTGGGTGCTATATCAGCTTGTGCAAATCTAGTGCAAGCAAGCAAGGGAAAGATCCATGGAGTTGTTATGGAACTTTTTCACGCAAACCTCTTTGTTGCAATTCTTTTGGACTTCATTCCAGAGTGGTCGAATTGATATGCTAATAAGATCTTTGAGCGGATTCCAAATAAGAATGCAGCCTCTTGGAATACTATGATTTTGGGTTATGGAATGATTGGGGAGTTGGATATTGCTATCAATCTCTTCGAAAATATGAGGGAAGATGGAGTGGAATATGATTCAGTTTCATATATTGCGTTTTGTTGGCTGTAGCCATGAAGGATTGTTGAGAAGGGGAGGAAAATATTGAGGAAATGCAAGCTCAGATATTAAGCCGACGCAAATGCACTATGCTTGTATGGTTGATCTCCTTGGACGAGCTGGCCTTATGGAAGATGCAGTGGAACTTTAAAAAATTTACCCATCATACCAGATGCCCAGTTTGGTGTGCTTGCTTGGGGCATGCCGAATCCATGGTAACACAAAGTGGGATCTTGGGCAGCCGAGCATCTGATTAAGTTGAAACTGAAATTGGTTAATACTCCTCTTTCACACTGTATGCAGAGCTGGGAAATGGGATAAGGCAAACAAGATTAGGGAATTGATGAGAGTTGATCGGGGAAAAGAAAAATCTGGTTACAGTGGGATCAAACAGGGACAGGTAAAGCATTTGTAGGTGGAGAGGTAATGGAGAACTACACTTCGGTCATCAGCATGCAGAATCCTGTTAAATTTGTAAAGAAGAAAGCTGAGTTTTATTGTTTTTGCTGTGTCCCTTATGCACTCTGAAACGTTATTTGGGAGATGAGGCAGTAAAGGAATAAAAATTCTATTCAATTGACTTTGAATTGATATTCAGTCTTAATCTCCAGGAGGTGGAGAAGCTTGCTTAGTATTAAGTGTTGGCAGCATCAATAGTGAACCAGAAAAGTGAAAGTGAAAACAGAAATTTTTTGTCTGTAGAAGACCAAGAGGAGATGAATTGCATCAAACTGTGGCTTAGTAGTACAGTACTTGATAGATAAATACTCCTTTTTTGGCTTCCTACCTCACTTCAAGAGTACTCTCAAGCCTGCCAGGAATTTCGTGCACCCAATAAACAAACAAAATTCAGATTGATTCATTTAGATTTCTTTGTGTCAAATAATGTTTTAAATTGCAATTTTTTTTTTTTTTTTTTTTTGGTATGATTATGAAAGTTAATTGGGGTTTCTTTGTGAGTATTAAGAATTTGAAAGCATTTAAACTGGTTGAAAAATATGGCAGATTCCCAAAGATTTTGGGAATAGTCTCCGAAAAAAATTAAAATAGGGAATGGCCATACTTTGACAATGTTTTAAAAATTTAAAAATATGTAATCTGTATTAAGCTATATATATGTTGTTTCACCCTCACCAATTCATCATTCTTGGATATTCATTGTAGGTTACATGCTTTTACCATAATCTTTTGGAATCCTTTTGTTTTTAGCAACCAAACTGGTGCTAAAAATATAAACATTTTTTTTTTTTTTTTGGACAATACACTGAAGAAGCTATGAGAAAAAGACAGGGAGAGGTTGAATTCATGACCCTCTTTGGGTTTGTGAAGTGCCCCTAAGCTGGGGTAAAATGGCTGTTAACCCATTAAAAAAATTTAATAAAATAATTAAACAACTGAAAATAAAAATCTATTTGTGGATACCATGTAATTAAAAAAGGAAAAATAGTGGACTTAAGAAAGGAGTGTTTAACAATGCTCAATTTTGAAGGGGTTTTTCTGAAATTCGTGATTTTTAAGATTCTTACAAATATTATCAAAAAATATATACAAATTAACCAAAAAAACCGTTCCATTCAGTAATAACAATTACTTCATCTTTTTTACCTATCATAGTAAGTCGTCAAACATTATTTAGTACGTCATGGAGCACCATCTAATACGCGAGAAAGTTTTTTATGTCTTTTAGTACGATATAATTAGAATACGTTTCATTATATCAATTCAAGTGAAATATTATTTATGATGCACGAAAGTATTTTGTCACATGTTAGGCAAGTTTAAGATAAAGCAGGATATTTTTGTCAATTCAAATTATTCAACTTATGTTCTATGTTTGGGTAACTTTGAAAGAAAATCAAAATTAATAAACCCCTCGGATTGTGGTGATTTCTCTAACACCCCTGACAGAACAGAGCATTCCCTTTAACACCCAAAATCTATCCAGGAAGCACACGTCTAAATCCAAATTTGCAATCCCCTCAACAGTCAACACAATTCTTCTTTTCCAACTCAAACTCCATCAACAATTCAACATCAACACCAACTCTTCATCCTTCTTTCGTACCAATCACACTCACAACATTAACAATAAAAGATTTCGACTACACTTGCTTCGATCTCTTCACTCAAAATCAAACCTTTCCCTCAATCGTTCCATCAACTAAGGAGCTTTTAGTGCTGGAGAAAACATCACGGATGACCAGCACTTTCAGGTGCACATAAGAATATTTCTGTTTATTAATTTGCAGCTTCTGTGTTTGGAACNAACTGCTGACGGTCTACCTTCAAAACAACCTTGGTAAATGAGTTTTCTTCTCAATTTCCCTTATTTTATTTTATTTTATTTTTTTTAAGTTTTGTTGATTCAAACTGATTAAATTTTCATTCATCATCTTTACTCAGCCATTCAAAATTTTAAATTCATTTCTTTATATTTTATTTCATCAAATTTTGAATTGACTCCATTATGTTTGCTTCAATGCCTCAATGAAGTTGACCCCATCAAGAATCCATTATGAGAGCGATGAAAATAGTGGCAAGTAGTACCAAGTTGGGAGCAACCGCAAGAGGAGCAGCTTACGCTTTGTCGCCGTCTTTTATTTGCTCCAACTTCGCTAATAGTTCCAGGTTTCACTCTTTCGATTTGTAGGTCGTTGTCGTGGGTCGTCTTGAATATGAAAGTTAGTCATGTCTTTGATTTCTGTTTCTTTTCATGATAAGATGTACTGGGTTTGTTTCAGGAAGAGAGTTCAAGTGGTTAAATTCCATGGAAGGCTGTTGAGTAAGCCACCGGGAATTCAAGCAATGTTGAACACTAGTGCCTTGCAGCCCAGCAAATACAGGTTCTTTCTTTTACTTTGTTTTGTACAGAGAGTCTTGGTGGCACCAGCGCAACATTGTTGTACATTTCGAATGCCTGTTTGATAACATCTCATCACCTAATAAACTAAAATTCTTATTTTATTCGTCTAACCTTTTATCATGATTGATTAATTTTACAATAAATGTATAGATGGTGAGATTTTATTGGATACGCGTATGGATAATATGTTAAGTCTGTCCTGTGCAAGACTTTTTCTGGCTGGTAATCATAACTCTTGGTTGGATCCCTTGTGCTTATATAAGAGGTCTTCTGATCAAATCTCTTGGTTGTTATTATCGGTTTTGAACAATTAGTACACAGTAGGATGGAAGGGGTTTGGTTTAAATGTATAATTTAGAAAGAAAAAAAAATCTCTTGGTTGTTATTATCGGTTTTGAACAATTAAGCTGCCATGCTAGGAAAATAATTTAATCATTTTAGTAAAATTTAAAGTTATTTGCATGGGTTTAAAGCAGCAACTTTAAATTTAAACTGGCTGGTGTTGGAGGGCCTCTTCATGGGTTTGCTGCTTTTACCACATCTCATGCCACTAATGATAAGAAGAAGAGGAAGGAGAGGAGTAAGGAAATGGCAAACGGAACAATTGGATCAAGTGCAAAGGTGGGGCTGGTGAAGGAAAAGAGGAGAACTCGATCTAATAAGGAGTATGAGTATGATTCGATTATACAGGAATCAGATGCATCGCATGTTCCAGTGATGTTAGGTGAAGTGTTGGAGGTTTTCTCGTCATCAAGGAGAATCAGCTCTTTCATTGACTGTACACTTGGAGCTGCTGGTCATTCCTCTGCAGTAAGTATTTGGCTTTGTTTGTCACTGCTTGTTTATTTTTTATCTCTAGTCCAAATCCTTTTCTTAATTTTGATATTTACAACTCTGCAACAGATAATCAGGGCCCATCCAGAGTTGAAACTTTATATTGGAATGGATGTCGATCCTTTGGCGCATGAAAAGGCTCGAACTCACATCGATTCCCTCTTGGATGCTCATTCTGATTTGAAAGCACATATCTTTCTGAAAAATTTTAGACATATCAAATCTGTGCTTAGCAAGGTTGATGAGAATCAAGCAAACTCGGGAGTGGATGGCATATTAATGGACTTGGGAATGTCCTCTATGCAGGTTTGCTTCAATGAAATTGTTGTTGTTTCTCAGTCATATATAACTCTTTCTTATGTCATTAAAAATTTCATGCTGTCCTGAAATCTATGTTTTTGATGTTATGATGATTTCTACTTATACCCAATAATTTGATTGTTGATACTTTGCCTAGGCTCTCATTATTCATACATCTGACTCCTATTTCCTGTGACTAATGCTCTTTATGCCTAGGTGAACAATCCCAAAAGAGGTTTTAGCATGCTTGGTAATGGGCCTCTAGACATGAGAATGGATCCTCAGGTGAGAGTTTTATTTCACATATACAAAAGATGAGTCCACAACAAAATCTAATTCACATTTTCCATCTCTGAAGCACAATACATTACTTTGGATTTCTAGTGACATCCTATTAGGAACAGAGCAGCTTTGCTACTCAGGAACTGGCTTTTGCTTCACCTATCATATTTAATCACATATTCAAATACAGTAAGGTAGAGGCTTAGGTTATCCTTCACGAGAACTCACTCTCTTACGAATCTTCGGCTTTCTGTTTCTCTCCTATGCCCGGATGTTTTATTATACAGTCTTCTTGATGAGTGAACTTTTATTAGATGTCAATCTTGTAGATCATGTGAGCGGCTGGTACATTCTTTAATCATATTATACAGTGTATGTGACCCTTCAAATTCTCTAGCTTGTGTGAACTGATGAGGTTAGTATCTCATTAAAAAAATATGACTAATACAAGTAATGCCATATGAGGGAATGTCGTGGAGTCACAGATGTTAAATTGATTGATACCCTCATTCTAGCAACTTCTTTACGTTAATGTTCAGCTAGCTTTTAAAGGATATAAGAGTAAGTTTTAATTAGTTCAATTCAGTGGTTCTGGTGCCATCCTTCTTTCTCTGCTAGTTTGCATGTTTAGTTATCCTTTCTCATGTGATCTTTTGCTGGGTGATTAGTGTGATTGCTTACTTTAGAATCTTCTTCTGTTTCACTAAACTGATTGAAACAGGCTTATTTCAGGCAAGTCTGAAAGCAGAGGACATATTAAATTCATGGCTAGACACCGAAGTGGGTCGAGTCCTGCGAGAATATGGGGAAGAAAGCAACTGGCGTTTGCTTCAAAAAAGGATTGTTCAAGCTCGTCTTCATGGTGGATTGCATTCCACCAGTGAACTGGTAGATCTTATCCGGAATGTGACTCCACGGACTAGAGGTAAGTTATGCTCCATTCATCTATTATAGTTCCTTACACTTTAGCATACCTTCTGCAAAACAAACATGCCTTTTATACATCTGCACTTTTATCGTTCTCTCTTCGAAGAAGGTTTAAATTGTGTGCTCTATGCTCTATGGCAACAAACTAGGCAATAAAGATTATACAAACTTGATGTGCTATGTACTTTTTCCGAGTAAATAAGTATTTATGGAATTAGAATTACTATAGGAGGTAGACAAGGTTGGATAAAGACAGCAACACGGGTGTTTCAAGCTCTAAGAATTGCCGTGAACGATGAACTAAAGACACTGGAAAATTCCCTCTATGCTTCTTTTGATTGTCTTGCTCCTGGGGGTAGGCTTGCTGTCATTTCCTTCCACAGTTTGGAGGACAGAATTGTGAAACAAACTTTTCTCAACATCATTGACTGCAATAAAGAAGATGATGAAGAGGGGAATGGAGACGAGAGAAGAAGAAGAGATCTGAAACAGATCAGAAATGATAGTGATGTAAATGAGATGTGGATTAAACAAATGATACAAGGTTGGAATGGAACAATTCTCACAAAGAGACCTATAACACCATCTGAAGAAGAGGAAAGATTGAATCGCCGCAGCAGGAGTGCTAAGCTCAGGGTGATTCAAAAGGCTTGAAAATACATGACCAATTCGTCGCGGGAAAACCAATATGTAATCTGTATTAAGCTATATGTATGTTGTTCCACCCTCATCAATTCATCATTCTTGAATCTTCATTGTAGGTTACATGCTTTTACCATAATCTTTTGGAATCCTTTTGTTTTACCAAACTATAAACATTTTTTTTTTTGACAATACATTGGAGAAACTATGAGAAAAAGACAGCGAGAGGTTGAATTCATTTCCCCATTTTGCTGAGGAGCTGGACCTGGACCCTCTTTGGGTTTGTGAAGTTCCTCTAAGCTGGGGTAAAAATGGATGTTAACCCATAAAAAAAATTTAATAAAATAATTAAACAACTGAAAATAAAATTGTACATAGTTATGGTTTAAATTATTATTGTTTTTCTTAAAAAAAAAAAAAAAAATCTATTTGTGGATACCAAGTAATTAAAAAAAGAAAAATAGTGGACTTAAGGGTGTTTAACATATCAAAGCTCAATTTTGAAGGGGTTTTTTTTAAATTCATGATTTTTAAGATTCTTACAAATATTATCAAAAACTTTATACAAATTAACAAGAAAACCGTTCTATTCAATTATAACACGAAAGTATTTTGTCACATGTTAGGAAAGTTTAAGATACAGCAGGATATTTTTGTCAACTCAAATTATTCAACTTATATTCTACGTTTGGAATTGGGAAACTTTGAAAGAAATTCAAAATTAATAAAACCCTGGGATTGTAGTTATCTTACTAACACCCCTGACAGAACAGAGCATTCCCTTTAACACCCAAAATCTATCCAGGAAGCACACGTCTTGATCCAAACTAAGATGTTGAACAGAGCACTACCTTAAAAATTTGCAATCCCCTCAACACAATTCTTCTTTTCCAACTCAAACTCCATCAACAATTCAACATCAACACCAACTTTTCATCCTTCTTTCATACCAACCACTCTCACAACATTAACAATAAAAGATTTCAACTACACTTGCTTCGATCTCTTCACTCAAAATCAAACCTTTCCCTCAATCGTTCCATCAACTAAGGAGCTTTTAGTGCTGGAGAAAACATCACGGATGACCAGCACTTTCAGGTGCACATAAGAATATTTCTGTTTATTAATTTGCAGCTTCTGTGTTTGGAACTTATGGCTGATAAATTTGCATTTTTTTTTTTTTTTTGTTTGGTGTGTGTAGTTTGAGGAGAGTAAAGGGTTTGGGATAATGGAAGGTGAGAGCTTTTCATTCTGAACTATAAGCTCAATCGTCAATTCTTGTCCTTTCTTTCTTTATATGTAGTTTTTTAAAGAAAAGAAAGGAACCCGTTTGGTTGATGAGAAAATTAAAGAAAGAAAGGAAAAAAAGGGGAACTTTTGACATTGTGACTTAAATTTTAAGACCCCTTTACTCAACTCAGCTGAGCCTTACATCTGAATAGGAAATTATATAGTCTAATCCTATAACAAAGAAAAACTACTGGTGGTATTCAAACTCCAAAAGGCCTTTGCCATCTTTCGATGTTGTTAGTGAACAATGCACTTAAAACTCTTCATGTGCATACACGTCGAGTAGCCTCAAGAACTGTATGCGAATACCACTTGCCGTTGAAAAGAAGTCAATGTACCTATCACTCACCAACCAACCCCACACATGTAAATCTCCTCACAATTGCCTCAAACTCCAAGTCTCTACTCCAAACTAAACAAACCCATGCCTTTGCACGCCTCAATGGTTTTCTTCCTGGAAGTGTTTCTCTTTGTGCAACTTTGATCCTTCGCTATGCCGGCTTTAAAGAACCCAATGCCTGTTTCCTTCTCTTTGAACAAACTATTAATTATTGCCACACTGCATTCCTGTGGAACACTTTCATTCGGGCTCTATCGGTTGCCTGTGTTCATGATGGTTTTGTTACCTACAATCAAATGGTTAGGACTGGAGTTTCGCTTGATGATCATACCTTCCCTTTTGTTCTAAAGGTGTGTGCCGATAATTTGGAACTTCAAAAGGGTATGGAGATTCATGGGCGTCTGTTCAAACTTGGTTTTGAAACGAATGTCTTTTTGGGTAATATCCTATTGTTGTTTTATGGTAATTGTGGGCTTTTGGAAAATGTTAAGAGTGTGTTTTATGAAATGCGTGAGAGAGATATTGTATGTTGGAATACAATTATAAGGGTATTTTCGGGTAATGGGTGTTATGTGGAGGCCCTTGATTTATATCGTGGTATGATTTTATGGTCTGGGTTTAAACCAAATGCAGTTAGTGTTGTCAGTATATTGCGAGTTTGTGGGGGCCTTGCAAATGAGGTCATGGCAAAGCAGATTCATTGTTATGCTGTGAAGAATGGGTTAGATGTTCGGATTACTATAAGTAATTCACTGATTGATGTGTATGGGAAATGTGGAAATGTGATGGCTTCAAGGAAAGTTTTTGATGAAATGGCAGAAAGGGATCAAATTTCTTGGAATGCCATTATCACTAGTCTTTCTCATACAGGGTGTAACAAGGATGCTTTAAATATGTTTAGGCTGATGATTTGTGCAAGGTTGACGCCAAACTCTATTGCCATATCTAGTATTTTACATGTGTTGGTTGAATTAGAGTTATTCAGTTTAGGAAAGGAAATCCACGGGTTCAGTTTAAGAATGGGCATAGAATCTGATGTGTTTGTTGCCAACTCATTGATTAACATGTATGCAAAATCAGGCCATCCATCTGAAGCTTCCTATGTATTTCACTATATGCCTGTAAAGGATGTTGTTACTTGGAATGCCATGATTACTAATCTTACTCAGAATGGGCTTCAGTTAGCAGCTCTGGAACTAGTAAGAGAAATGGTAGTCCATAACAAGATTCCTGACTCAGTCACTTTGACAAGTGTTATCCCAACTTGTGCACGAGGTGGTTTCCTTCATCAAGGAAAAGAAATCCATGCAGTTACCATCCGTAAGGGGTTCAACTTTGATCTGTTTGTCACCAATGCTCTGACAGATATGTATGCAAAATGTGGCTGCCTAGATCTGGCTCAACGTGTTTTTGATATATCCCTTAGGGATGAATTATCTTATAATATATTAATAGCAAGCTATGCTGAAACTAGTGATTGCTCAAAATCTTTGAGTTTATTCTCAGAAATGGGTCTCATCGGTATGATGCATGATGTGGTTTCCTTTGTGGGTGCTATATCAGCTTGTGCAAATCTAGCTGCAATCAAGCAAGGGAAAGAGATCCATGGAGTTGTTATGAGAAACTTTTTTCACGCACACCTCTTTGTTGCTAATTCACTTTTGGGCTTCTATTCCAGATGTGGTCGAATTGATATAGCTAATAAGATCTTTGAGCGGATTCCAAATAAGAATGCAGCCTCTTGGAATACTATGATTTTGGGTTATGGAATGATTGGTGAGTTGGATATTGCTATCAATCTCTTCGAAAATATGAGGGAAGATGGAGTGGAATATGATTCAGTTTCATATATTGCAGTTTTGTTGGCCTGTAGCCATGAAGGATTTGTTGAGAAGGGGAGGAAATACTTTGAGGAAATGCAAGCTCAGAATATTAAGCCGACGCAAATGCACTATGCTTGTATGGTTGATCTCCTTGGACGAGCTGGCCTTATGGAAGATGCAGTGGAACTTGTAAAAAATTTACCCATCATACCAGATGCCAATGTTTGGTGTGCTTTGCTTGGGGCATGCCGAATCCATGGTAACACAAAGTTGGGATCTTGGGCAGCCGAGCATCTGATTAAGTTGAAACCTGAACATTGTTGGTATAATACTCCTCTTTCAAACATGTATGCAGAAGCTGGGAAATGGGATAAGGCAAACAAGATTAGGGAATTGATGAAGTTGATCGGGGAAAAGAAAAATCCTGGTTACAGTTGGGATCAAAGCAGGGACCAGGTACAAGCATTTGTAGTTGGAGAGGTAATGGAGAACTGCACTGTCGGTCATCAGCATGCAGAATCCTGTTAAATTTGTTAAAGAAGAAAGCTGAGTTTTATTGTTTTTTGCTGATGTCCCTTATGCACTCTCTGAAACGTCATTTGGGAGATGAGGCAGTAAAGGAATAAAAAGTTCTATTCAATTGACTTTGATATGATATTCAAGTCTTTAATCTCCAGGAGGTGGAGAAGCTTGCTTAGTATTAAGTGTTGGCAGCATCAATAGTGAACCAGAAAAGTGAAAGTGAATAACAGAAATTTTATGTCTGTAGAAGACCAAGAGGAGATGAATTGCATCAAACTTTGGCAGTTTGGCTTAGTATGTACAGTACTTGATAGATAAATACTCCTTTTTTGGCTTCCTTACCATCATCTTCAATAGAGTACTCTCCAAGCCTGCCAGGAATTTTCTTGTGCACACTTATAAAACAAACAAAATTCAGATTGATTCATTTAGATTTCTTGTGTGTCAAATAATTGTTTTAAATTGCAATTTTTTTTTTTTTTTTGGTTATGATTATGAAAGTTCAATTGGCGTCTTCTTTGTGAGTATTTAAGAATTTGAAAGCATTTAAACTGGTTGAAAAATATGGCAGATTCCCAAAGATTTTGGGAATAGTCTCCGAAAAAATTTAAAAATAGGGAATGGCCATACTTTGACAATGTTTTTGCTGACATTGTCCTTGAAAAATCCTCAGTTTATTATCTTTGATGTGGACTGGGAACAATATCACCAGGCCTTTTCGAGTGGCTGGAGCAGCGGCGTTGGCTCCTTTTATTTACCAAGGGTTGAAGAAGATCCAAAACTATTTCAAGTTACCAAATCTTGTCAATGCATTTGCTCCTTCTTGTCTCCATAGTAGGTGCATCGTGTTTAACCCTGCTGGCTTGCTCACCCTTTCTAGATGGGGAAAATGAATTCAAGAGATAAATTTCTGGACTGCCACTTTGAAAAATACCTTAATCAAAGTGCAGAAAATGAAGAAATGATCACTCCTTTTTTGGCCTTTTTTGTGCTTGAAAATGCTTATATGTTAGTAATTGTGTCATTTGATTCTAATATTTTCTAGTTGTGCTCTGGAACATATAAGGAAAACTTTCATTTACAAACTACCTTTGGGCGGTCGAGCGTGTCACGACCGGGGGCTATCCTCTATCTTGCCACCTTCGGGTTCAAGAGCTTTTCCCACTCGTCAGACACGTCCAAGGTATTGTCCGTTATGGGTCCTTCTGGCCATGCCTCTTTCAGACCCTCATGACTTTGTTTCGCTTTGTAGTCTTTTTTCCATCTTGCGAACGCCTCCCCCATGACTTGAACCTTAGCCTTATACCTTGGTCAAATAACATGAGTACCATTGGGCGGGATAAAGGATATTTTTTTAATACCTTCTTATTTATTGAAATATTTACATCTAACAAGTTATTTAAAGTAAACATGGAATTTTAAAGAAAGTATCATTCAATATAACAAATCATTTTATATTTTAAAACATGTAAAGTTTTATATTTTAAAAATATCCCTTTAGTTGAAAGTAACTATTGAAACTTATTTTTACAAGGTATAAGGTTTTACAGGATATTCTGGACAAATAAGTTTTGCCTTATTACAATATTATATCAACATTTTAACGTAAAATTTGTAAACTTTTAACGTGAAACTGGTAAATTTTTAACGTGAAACTTGTAAACTGTTGACATGAAACTTGCAAAATACACTTTATTTGATAATAGACTTATCCGTGGATAGTCTAAATGGTTAGAACAAATTAGTGATAGTGTGGATGGACGTACGGTCTTAAGTTTCTGTCACATGTTAGGAAAGTTTAAGATAAAGCAGGATATTTTTGTCAATTCAAATTATTCAACTTATGTTCTATGTTTGGGTAACTTTGAAAGAAAATCAAAATTAATAAAACCCTTGGATTGTGGTTATTTTAACTAACGCCCCTGACAGAACAGAGCATTCCCTTTAACACCCAAAATCTATCCAGGAAGCACACGTCTTGATCCAAACTAAGATGTTGAACAGAGCACTACCTTAAAAATTTGCAATCCCCTCAACACAATTCTTCTTTTCCAACTCAAACTCCATCAACAATTCAACATCAACACCAACTTTTCATCCTTCTTTCATACCAACCACTCTCACAACATTAACAATAAAAGATTTCAACTACACTTGCTTCGATCTCTTCACTCAAAATCAAACCTTTCCCTCAATCGTTCCATCAACTAAGGAGCTTTTAGTGCTGGAGAAAACATCACGGATGACCAGCACTTTCAGGTGCACATAAGAATATTTCTGTTTATTAATTTGCAGCTTCTGTGTTTGGCACTTATGGCTGATAAATTTGCATTTTTTTTTTTTTTTTTTTTGGTGTGTGGAGTTTGAGGAGAGTAAAGGCTATGGGCTAATGCAAGGTGAGGGCTTTCCATTCTGAACCATACGCTCAATCGTCAATTCTTGTCCTTTCTTTCTTTATATGTAGTTTTTTAAAGAAAAGAAAGGAACCCGTTTGGTTGATGAGAAAATTAAAGAAAGAAAGGAAAAAAAGGGGAACTTTTGACATTGTGACTTAAATTTTAAGACCCCTTTACTCAACTCAGCTGAGCCTTACATCTGAATAGGAAATTATATAGTCTAATCCTATAACAAAGAAAAACTACTGGTGGTATTCAAACTCCAAAAGGCCTTTGCCATCTTTCGATGTTGTTAGTGAACAATGCACTTAAAACTCTTCATGTGCATACACGTCGAGTAGCCTCAAGAACTGTATGCGAATACCACTTGCCGTTGAAAAGAAGTCAATGTACCTATCACTCACCAACCAACCCCACACATGTAAATCTCCTCACAATTGCCTCAAACTCCAAGTCTCTACTCCAAACTAAACAAACCCATGCCTTTGCACGCCTCAATGGTTTTCTTCCTGGAAGTGTTTCTCTTTGTGCCACTTTGATCCTTCGCTATGCCGGCTTTAAAGAACCCAATGCCTGTTTCCTTCTCTTTGAACAAACTATTACTTATTGCCACACTGCATTCCTGTGGAACACTTTCATTCGGGCTCTATCGGTTGCCCGTGTTCATGATGGTTTTGTTACCTACAATCGAATGGTTAGGACCGGAGTTTCGCTTGATGATCATACCTTTCCTTTTGTTCTAAAGACGTGTGCCGATAATTTGGAACTTCAAAAGGGTATGGAGATGCATGGGCGTCTATTCAAACTTGGTTTTGAAACGGATGTCTTTGTGGGTAATACCCTATTGCTGTTTTATGGTAATTGTGGGCTTTTGGAAAATGTTAAGAGTGTGTTTGATGAAATGCATGAGAGAGATATTGTATCCTGGAATACAATTATAGGGGTATTTTCCGGTAATGGGTGCCACATGGAGGCGCTTGATTTATATTGTGATATGATTTTAAGGTCTGGGTTTAAACCAAATTCAGTTAGTGTTGTTAGTATTTTGCCAGTTTGTGGGAGCCTTGCAAATGAGGCCATGGTAAAGAAGATTCATTGTTATGCTGTAAAAATTGGGTTAGATGTTCAGGTGACTATAAGTAATGCACTGGTTGATGTGTATGGGAAATGTGGAAATGTGATGGCTTCAAGGAAAGTTTTTGATGAAATGGCAGAGAGGAATGAAGTTTCTTGGAATGCCATTATCTCTAGTCTTGCTCATACAGGGTGTAACAAGGATGCTTTAAATATGTTTAGGCTGATGATTTGTACAGGGCTGACACCAAACTCTATTGCCATATCTAGTATTTTACCTGTGTTGGTTGAATTAGAATTATTCAGTTCAGGAAAGGAAATCCACGGGTTCAGTTTAAGAATGGGCATTGACTCTGATGTATTTGTTGCTAACTCATTGATTGACATGTACGCAAAATCAGGCCATCCATCTGAAGCGTCCTGTGTGTTTCACTATATGCCTGTAAAGAATGTTGTTACTTGGAATGCCATGATTGCTAATTTTACTCAAAATGGGCTTCAGTTAGCAGCTCTAGAACTAGTAAGGGCAATGCCAGTCCATAACAAGATTCCTAACTCTGTCACTTTGACAAATGTTCTGGCAGCTTGTGCACGAGTTGGTTTCCTTCGTCCAGGAAAAGAGATCCATGCAGTTACCATCCGTATGGGGTTCAACTTTGATCTGTTTGTCACCAATGCTCTGACAGATATGTATGCAAAATGTGGCTGCCTAGATCTGGCTCAAAGTGTTTTTGACATATCCCTTCGGGATGAAATATCTTATAATATATTAATAGCAAGCTATGCTGAAACTAGTGATTGCTCAAAATCTTTGAGTTTATTCTCAGAAATGGGTCTCATCGGTATGATGCATGATGTGGTTTCCTTTGTGGGTGCTATATCAGCTTGTGCAAATCTAGCTGCAATCAAGCAAGGGAAAGAGATCCATGGAGTTGTTATGAGAAACTTTTTTCACGCACACCTCTTTGTTGCTAATTCACTTTTGGACTTCTATTCCAGATGTGGTCGAATTGATATAGCTAATAAGATCTTTGAGCGGATTCCAAATAAGAATGCAGCCTCTTGGAATACTATGATTTTGGGTTATGGAATGCTTGGTGAGTTGGATATTGCTATCGGTCTCTTCGAAAATATGAGGGAAGATGGAGTGGAATATGATTCAGTTTCATATATTGCAGTTTTGTCGGTCTGTAGCCATGGAGGATTTGTTGAGAAGGGGAGAAAATACTTTGAGGAAATGCAAGCTCAGAATATTAAGCCGACGCAAATGCACTATGCTTGTATGGTTGATCTCCTTGGACGAGTTGGCCTTATGGAAGATGCAGTGGAACTTATAAAAAATTTACCCATCATACCGGATGCCAGTGTTTGGGGTGCTTTGCTTGGGGCATGCCGAATCCATGGTAACACAAAGTTGGGGTCTTGGGCAGCCGAGCATCTGATTAAGTTGAAACCTGAACATTGTTGGCATTATATTCCTCTTTCAAACATGTATGCTGAAGCTGGGAAATGGGATGAGGCAAACAGGATTAGGGAATTGATGAAGTCGAGAGGGGCAAAGAAAAATCCTGGTTACAGTTGGGATCAAAGCAGGGACCAGGTACAAGCATTTGTAGTTGGAGAGGTAATGGAGAACTACACTATCGGTCATTGGCATGCAGAATCCTGTAAAATCTGTTAAAGAAGAAAGCTGAGTTTTATTTATTTTATTTTTTTGCTGATGTCCCTTATGCACTTTCTGAGACGTCATTTGGGAGATGAGGCAGTAAAGGAATAAGAAGTGCTATTCAATTGACTTTGATATGTTATTCAAGCCTGTAATCGGAAGGAGGTGGAGAAAAGAAAAAGTTTACTTAGTATTAGTGTTGGCAGCGTCAATAGTGAACCAGAAAAGTGAATAACAGATATTTCATGTCTGTAGAAGACCAAGAGGAGATGAATTGCATCGAACTTTGGCTTAGTAGGTACTGTACTTGCTAGATAAATACTCCTTTTTTGGCTTCC